ACTCTATTTCATAAAATTTAAAATATTTATAATTTAATAAAAAAATCTTAATCGGTATTTTTGTAAATTTTATTTTTGTTTTGATCTTTAGTTAATCTTTTAAAAAATATCCTATAATATATTAATATAATATATTAATGAATTTTTTATAATACAAAAAAATTTAATTTCTTTGATCTTTGAATTTTTAAAAATTCATATATCATATGAATTTTTTTTCAAATTTAAAAGTAATTCTATTAACAAAGTTCATTATAAAATTTTTAGTTATTAGAATTATAGAAAAAATTATAGAATAAATTACCTTAAAACTGGCATCAGAACCATTACGATGCTGTAATGCAAGAGAAGCTATTAATTCATGTTCTTCATTAACATTGACGCTGACGCTACCCCAAGAACGAGACATAGAAGAAGGTGGTCGATTTATTTGTGGCGGAGTCGATGGCACTGGTGCGGGTGCGGGTGGTGGAGGAGAAGGATGATGAATTAAATGATGATGATGTATATGATGTTCCTCGCAAGAAGTAGTTGGAACTGGTCCGCTGCAATCTATTACAACATCGCCAATTCCTGATCCTCCAACACCTACACCAGAAGCATTATTATCTCTGGAACTTTGACGTCTTGGAGGAGATGGAGGACAACGTTTTGGAAAATGTGGACTACTTTCAAGTCCATAAGTCAATTGATATTTGTTATCAAAATCTCTTGGTAATGATTTAAATTGTCCTGGAGTTGCAGTGACCTATAATTAAAAAACAATATAATTTTATAAATAACAGATATTATTTTATAAAATTAATGATTTAATTAAAATGTATAATTTTTCATTATTTTTAAGATTTAGAAAGAATTATGAAAAATTTTGAAAATTATAATTATTTTGAATATTTTTGAATAAACATTTTTAATAAATATAATAAAAATATATAAACAAATATATAATTATATTAATTATTGTGTATATATGCAATTACGATTATGATACTTCATTAAATAAATATTTATAAATATTTATGATGTCTATATGATATTAATTTATAGAAAAAAAATATTTTATTTATTTTATTAAAAAATACATAATTGCTAAAACTAATTATCTTGTTATAATATAATACATAATTATGCTTTTTTTATCTAATTATAGATGTAAATTTTTAATAACATGTTTTGAGTTTCTAAAACAGTCATGTTTCTTGAACAGTGCATTGTTTATATTATTTAGAATCCATTAGTTAAAATAATAGATAAATTTTTCTCAATAATTTTCAAAACTTAAATCATATTAATAGAAAAACATAAATAAAAATGCATAATTAATATAAAACTTAAAATTGCAGCAAAAATATGTTAATAAAAAAAGGAAACAATGTTTATTATGTCATTCAATATGAAAGATTATATATTAAAATTTTTATAAATTTGTAAATTTAAAATTATTTTATAATTTTTGCAAATATTTATTATGAATGATTTTTTTTTAATCTTATCTTAAAAATTCAAATAAATTTTTTAGAGATAAATAGAATCTAAAATTTCATTTTATGTAATAATTTTTAATTATTTACTTTTAAGAGTCATTTTCTTTTCAATTGAATTATGAATTATATTCTATTTTGTACATATATTTAAAATGATATTTTGTACCTTTGCTACTGGTCGTGGACGAACAAGACAATGTCTTGGTCGTGGAAGAGTTCCTCCACCTGCATCCACTACGAAAGTATCATTTGTAGGAGTTAGGTCGCCATCTTCAAAACTACGTGGACGCCATTCAATTGGTTGTGGATGTGCAGAAGGTGCTGGTGATGGAGGATATCCAAGAGGTGCATCCTCTAAACTTTCTAAAGATTTTCCTCGTGAACCAGTTCGACCAACAATATTATAATCTGCTGGTAAAGCTGCATACATACTTCTCCATGTAGCTCCAGATGTCGTATCACTTCCTCCTCTCTGGAAAGACCTCAAAACAGGTGAAGAACAATCCTCATCAGGAGATGGCAAGTCAGGACCTCCTCGTTGAATAACTACATCCTGAAAATAAAATTGAAATAGATTTCTAAGATATTAAGATTAAAATAATTGATAAAAAAAAACGATTTTACATTGAGAAATATTTTACTATAATTATCGTAAAATTAAACCATAATTATCGTTTTATGTGAACATATATTGAATTATAAAATTTATTTAGAGAACATATTTATTTATACAAAGAGACTATATACAAGGTTGTTAGTATATAATATGGAACATTTAAAAAATTCAATTTTAGAGATTAAACACAAAAGTTAATATATAAAAATATTTGTTAAAGCTTATTATTATATTATATTATTATTATATTATTATAAGCAATTTAATTCGCATTGGATTAAATAAGACAAAGATAGAGCAAGACGTTGATGTGACGAAATGTTTTCTCTATTATCTTATAAATTTCAGCTGTTTATAATATAAATAAGCTTTAAATAAAAATTTTACATATTAACTTTTCGATTTGTAAAATTAATTTTTAAAATATTTTTAAAATATATTTAATAATTTTAGAAAATTAAGGATTTCATGTATAAAAACGTGATAATTGATATGTATAAATTATATTACAATATTACAATAGTTATAAATGCAGTTTTATTCTAATAATTCTTAATTTGAATAAAATTTGAATAAAATTTATATCACAACATATATGATTTATAATATTTAATTTTCTTTTAATGCTGATTAAAAAAAAAAAGTTTTTGTTTAATTTAATGAATATTATATGAGCTCTCTCTTTTATTTATTTTTTTAAAAGTTCATAATTCTTTTTATGTTAATTAAATATTTTAATTTATTATTTTTATTATTATTTTAATTTATTTAATTTATTATTTTTTATTATTATAATTTAATTATTTTTTTTAATCGTTTTGTTAATTTACCTGTGTTTGTCCAGGATGTGGTGGTAATCGTGCGAGATCAAGCGGCTGTATACGTTTACCAGCGCGAATATCTTTAACTCTTTTAATTGCCAATAATAATTTTTTCTGATGGCCGAGACGCACAATACCAATATCTTCGAGATCTTCCCAAGTGAGAGTTGTTACATCTTCTACTGAACGCATACCCTGTTGGTGAAGAGCTCCAAGATATTCTTCGAGTCGTAGAAGTCTAAGCCATTCTTCTAATGAACCAGGAATATGCTCTGGTAAACCATCTCCTATATTTAAATTATCTATTTCTGCTTTCAAGCGTTTTCGATGATTAGGTTTCTTAATTCCTGTAAATATACAAAGTTTTAAATATAAATTTATAATTACATATTTAATTTTTAATTAATAATTTAATTAGTATTTGTTATATATGTATAAATTTTTACATAATATAATTTATACATGATATATATTATATACTTTTATATAATATTATATATAGAATTTAGTTTGCATAAAATAAATTATGAAAAATAAAAATATTAAATAATTTTTTTAATTTTGAGCATAAAGAAAGAATATATAAAATATATTTAATTTAGAAATATAAAATTTTTATTTAAAAAATATCCATAATTAAAATCAAAAACTTATATTTATCTATCTATACATAACAATTCCTAGCAAACAAACAATTAAACCAACAGATTAGATTAGATTAGATTTATAATAAAAAAATTTTCAAATTTTCATTTCTCATTTATTTAATTAATATATATATAAGATTTTATTCTCTTTATTATTCTTTATAAATGACATTGGAAATAAATGATATTGGAAATAATTATATAAATTACAATAACATAAATCATATAATATATTGTGTTTATTAATATGTTCATTCAATTTCATTATTTTAAAAAAATGTAATAAATAAATAATAAATAGTAATCTTAAAAAAAAAAAAAATTTATGCCTTTCATATTTTTCAATTCATTTATATCATATCTATTTTTTAAATATATTTTAGCATACATAAAATTTGTTTTACATATATATATATATATATCTGTAAATCTAAATTATATTATTTGAAAAATGTATTTTTTTTAATTCGTCTTATAAATTTAAAAATTGATTAAAAACTTGCCTATTGCTGTCAAATCTTCTGGTGTCATACGTGTAATAGTAGCTAAATCATAACCAGCGGAAGCAAACAAAGGAAAGTATTCCTCGAATTGGAGTTCAGTCAACCAAGCATGCACAACGTCAAGATCCGCTGGTCTATCGGGATGACTGCCAAGTGAACTTATAGAACATCTGGGAGATGAAGCAAGAGCACCAGGTCCTCTAGGACCTAAATGATATCCAGAAGCTCTTCCAGAATCTAATGAAGCGGTAGAATGCCTGGAACCTGAACCTGATCCTGAACTACCTGGGCTATCTCTTCCAGGACTTTGAGTCATATCAATTCCTAAAAAATATATATACAAATAATTAACAAAGAATATAAATAATTAATTAATACAAAAAATACATACAATTGTACATTAAATTGAAAAAAATTATATTTTGCTAAATATTTTAAATAATATTGGAAATTCAAAGTCCAATATTAACTTTATATTAATTTTTTATAATAATAATAATAATAATTTATAAATATTAATAATTTATCTTTTAATAAATTTTAATATTAAAAAATTAATAAGTTTAAGTTGAATAAAAGTTTATAAATTAAATAAAAAATGAAATGAAATTACTTTTTATAATGAACAGAGCATTTATTTCTGATCTTAAAAAAGAAAATAGAAACTATTTTTTTTCTTAATTTTAATTAAATTATTTCAATTAAATAAAACTATGTAATAATTATTTTTAATAAATTCAAACAAAACAG